GTGATGAAGTAACCAGTATTACTACTGGAAGGAATTAATTCATGGGTTTTAAGTATCGTCTCTTAACAAATTCATGGTCCATACTCTCATCTTATTTCCATAGTTCTCGACCAATGAGCGCCAAAGAAACCACCTAGTTATTGTAAAAATTTTTAAAAGCCTATAAGGGCTTTCCAGCAAAGTTTTTTGTATTGACGTCAAAATGTTTATCGTTTGTTTTGCCGTTGGGAGCACCTTTTTGCGGTTCTAGCAACCTCGGCAACTTTTGCCTTTCTGAGCAATTTTGGGCAAAAATATAGGTTTAGAGCGTGACATATCAAACACGAAAAAAACAACGATTTCACAGAAAACTTAAAGTTCTGCGAATTTCTTGAGTGTTTATCAACCTAAAGGTAACTTTAAAAGGAAAACTTTAATGCTTCGATCAATTATAGAAAACAAGAATAGGTCTCACACAACGTGCTAGAATTTATAGTTGTTGCCATATGAATACTGAATTACTTAGCTAAGTAGTACAATCTTGTTCAGGGCTCTCATAGTGAACATGGGGTACCTGTAGTTTCGCTGATATTGTTGCGAGCAACTCTATTTTTCTTAGTGTGAAGAAGGGAGAATAAAGCTTTTAATTAACGTTTATATTTAAAATATCAAGAAATTTACGTAGCAATTTTTGACTAGTACTACGTCAAAACTAACTTTGTGACAGACATCAACAAGACACCGATATGATTGTGGCTCTTCAGGACAGCGCAACAACAGACAGGACAACGAAGCTCAGCTGAGAAATTACCTGCTTGTGGCCCGTGAGTAGGTTGGTTTTGGCCATCCTTCTTTGCTTTACTGGAAAATTTGAGCAAATGTGCATATGATGTGTACTCGAATGGATTTTATTTTCTGGAAAGGAAGGACAGAAATATTTATTCAGCTTAGCTTTAAATATTGATCAGGTTTTATATGAAAACGAATACAAGGCTTTTGATATGTAGAGAGAAACAGAGATTCGGTCCAGTGTTCTCATGAAGTGTTCTATCAAGGAAGCGCTTTTTCGTTTTCAAATTTATTGATCATGTTTTAACTACATTATGACATCCATTATCCTTCTCTCAATAGACTCACGAAAACGTTCATAAAAGTAGTGAAAACGTGTCGTTTTGCTTTTGTACAGATACAAAAAATTCACGAAATTCACGAAATTTTCATCATCGGAGCGCTTGGCCTGTTTTGAAACGCAACCAAGCAGCGAAGTTTACCGGATCCTGGTGGATCTAGTAACCAATTTTTTTATGAACAGAGAGTAAAAAAGCTGAAGGTAGAGTTAAGAGAATACATGTATTTTTCTTTCTATATTTCGTCATTCACGGATATAATTAAATTATCATGGTAATGTACAGTCATTTAGAGTCAGCCTTGCCCTTATACTCTTTGTTCACAAAAATGAAAGTATTGACCCTAACACATGCCTATAAAATAAGATAATATGGTATCAGTTTTCCGTCCAGAACACCCCACTCTTTTAGCGGTCCCCGTAAGAGAGAGGTATCATCCCCATTTTTTTCATGTGGGAGCCCCTTGAGGACTCTTGGTATACTCACTCATATATATACTCCCACACAGGAGAGGACGGGGCTTCCAGTCTGACACCTGCAATAAAGTATATTTACACCCGAATTCTTTGAGTAGCTTGCGAGCTAAAATCTTTGAGCACAATACATATAAAAAAATACATTAAATACACTACAAGAAAAAACTACGATCTACAGATAAAGGAAACTAATATTCACAACTTAAAGTATAAGTATATGAAAGCTAAAAGAATAGGCCTTATCACGGTTTTCGACGCCATCTTGACGGGTAGGCAAGCAGGCGTAAAATTACAGTGTTTGTATGAGAATCCGATGTCGAATAATTTTCGTAAAACGTCCGTTTGGAAAAAAATATGAATTGTAAACTAAAGCTACAAGGTAGAGGATTCTGCTGACAAATTTTGAGGGCTGTACCCGCGCTAAAACGTTCTCGATAGCTTTTTAGATTTTCTATACATTTGTCTGTAAATTTTCCCGGGAAATTTAGTCGGCGGGAAAACATTTTTACAGACAAATGTATTGGAAATTAAAGGTCATTAAAAGAAGCGATTCTAGGGTAGGCGAGGCCCCCGAATTTTGTGAGAAGAATCTTTTGTCTAATAGCTTTAGTTTACATTTCATAGTTTTTTCAAAACGGACGTTTTACGAAAATTATTCTACACCGGATTCTCATACAAACACTGCAATTTTACGCCTACTTGTCGATACTTGCCTACCCGTCAAGATGGCGTCGAAAACCGTGATAAGGCCTATCTACACAAATGTAACACCCTCTAGAGCGAGAAAAGTCAGGCAGTGTATTCCACTGTAAATGTTTAGCTGACAAGTAAGAAAAGAAGTTAAGATCATAGGTAGTTGTTTTAGGTTTTTCTTAGTGATAGAATGTAGTTGCCTCGAAGATCATAGGAAGAGGACCGGAGTGGACTTCAACTTCAACTTCAACTTCAGCTTTAACTTCAACTTTATTTCATAAGACTATTGGTTACAATAGACTGGCCCGCAAAATAGCAATTGCTAATCTAGGCGAACCAGTTAAAAGAAAAATAAATTGAAAGGAAAAGAAAGGAAAGGAAAAGGAAGGAAAAACAACAATTTTAAGTTACAATAAATAATATTCTATCACAGTTTTATTTTAATTACATTAAATCTGCACAAGCAAACAAACAAATACTTTAATACAGAAATCACTAAACTATTAATCGAACGTTTTCAACTATGGAAACATATTTTTCATATAAGCACGAAAATGAGTGAAAAATAAACTCTTATTTAACAAGATAAGGAAATTCTGAACGCGCTTATCACACAACCTAGTAGGAGACGAGTAATCTCCAAGTGCAAATGGTATTCTGTTATTTATCGCTTCTAGCTTATCCGCACCGCGCGCTCCACAGAAATGCCCGACAGAGGAGCAATAATAAAAATGAGGTGATATTTACGCTCTGTGAAGTTTAGATAAGATGGTATGAGTTTTCCAAAGCGCAGCATAACGCCACGCTCCCATCCCCGGCTCCCTATGAAGGGACAAGCCCGTTTCTCGAAAGTCCCGATAATTAACGGGCCCAGTAAGCTGTCTCCGATTTACATTAAAGATCGAGGTTTCAATAGTTTTGCATCTAACATGATAAAACTATCAGTTAATGAAACAAAATGGAGTAGTTTGCTAGCCAGGACCCGCGCTCTTATTACTTCGGCGGAGCGCGAAGTAAAGGATTCGCGACGCTCAGGAATGTATCAAAGTTGCAATTTTTTGACAAGATTGGGCAAGCAAAGTCTGTAGGTTTTCGGTTCTATTCGGCTATTTGACGAAGTGAGAGCCGTATTAGTTCGACATATTTCGAGATCACTTCGATTTCTTTGATTTATTCTTTAACTTATTAGAGAAAGAAAGAATTATTATTTTGGCTTCCCCGGGGTTTGAACCGACTCACCTGTGTGACCCATCAGATCAGAGGAGACTCTAAGTTGAGGGATTAGCCGATTGCGCTACCGCGACCCAAGGTAGTTTGGCACATGAAAAATAGTTATGAAATGATGCACTAGTCTCGGGACAAGATTGGGCGTGCAAGTTCGTCACGTTTCGGCTTGTTTCAACTATTTCACGAAATGAGACCGGACTACTTCGTGATATCTTGAGATCACTTCGAGTTTAGTCTTTAATTACTCGAGGAATAAATAGAGGATATTTCGTGGCCGCGCAGAGACACGAAATTTCTCTTCGAGTGTTGAAAAACATTTCACGAGTGAGCCCTTCTTTTCGAACTGTTTTATGATGAATTTAAAGTTACGAAATGCTGCACAAAGACATTTTGTCTTTGTTGAGTGTTACGTAGTAAAATTACTTTTATGCGTTGCGTGACTTTCTCGAACGTTCTCTACGCTTTTGGATCATACATGAATAATTAATTAGGGCATGTTTACATTTCAGCATGAGTCAGCAGATTTGCATCAGTTACTGAAATCATAAAATATGTCGAAAAGCTACTACTATTCGCCTGTTTAGTATTTTCTAGAACCTTATGTCAAACGGTATACAAGTTCCAAGCGAGTTCTTTTGACGATCTAAGTTTTTTCCCACGAGCTGGACTTCTGTGTCTAGTCAAGTGTGACGAAGGTCGATTTTCAGGTTCTGTGTTTACAAGTTCGTGGAAGCCGTAAGATATCAGAAGTTCAAGTGAGAGTTTGTTATTATTGGTAGAGGCTGTTTAGTTTTACTTAAAGTTCAAGTCAAGTTTGTTGGTGGATGCTGTGTTTTAAAGCTCTGTAAAGGCTATGTTCCTTTGGTGTTAAACTTCCTCGTGTTAATCCGACATCTCTGCGTGCTGATAGTCAGTGAATAATTACATTCAAAACATTTGAACTCGTGACTTTGAGTTTTAGCCAATTCCTTGCTCAACGTAATTGACCCCTCACCCATGCCTTACATATCTTTAATCAGTACATGAGACTGCTATGCTGTTTTTGAAGCCTGATGTGACTAAGAAAAAATAGAGAATTGTTTTTTTTAAAAGGATTTGTATGGAGTCATCAGAGGATAACTGGGCTAATACCTCGGAGACAATTTGTTCCGAAATGCTAGTTTTTGGCAAGTAGGCCTCTTGGATGTTGCTCTTTTCAGAATATCCTGACAAATCCCATAATTTCAGAAATTAACACCTTACTCTTACCATATTTGATTTCTTACTATTCCTCCGCATTTACAATAATTAGTTCCACAACCACGACGCCGAAGTGTACGCTCCGTAGAGTCTTGTTCTTTATATTTCGATTTGAATATTTGATTTCGGGCCTGTAAAGTTACCGGGACTTTCGAGAAACGGGCCCCTAATCTCGGGTTATTTGAATACTTGGTTTGGGACCCGAAAAGTTACCGGGACTTTCGAGAAACGGGCCCAAGGGCCCTCTGGACAATCCAAGATGGCGGCAAAACTGACCAAAGAAGAAGCTGAGGAATATTTTGCTCGTATAAACTATACAGGATCAAAAGAACCAACTGTCGAGGTTTTGACAGAACTACATCGATGTCATATCCTATATGTACCATTTGAAAACCTGAGCGTTTATGGAAAGGAGAAAATAGAGCTCTCTAAAGAATGGCTGTTTGAAAAGATTGTGCGAAGACATCGAGGTGGATTTTGCTTTGAGCTAAACAAGATGTTTTCTTTTCTCCTCAATTATCTCGGATTTGAATACACGACACTTGCTGCCTCAGTGTTTAGAAGGAAGACAGGCGTCCAAAGTCCACCACTTTCTCATCTCGTTCTTACGGTAGAAGTCGGAGGCGAGCTGTTGCTCGCCGATGTCGGGTTCGGCGATTCCTTTTGGTTGCCTCTTCGTTTCACTGGCTTACGAGAACATCAAGAACAACAGAGTGGCACTTATCGAATTCGAAAGAGTGGAAACGACCATATCTGTGAAGAAAAGATCAAAATAATTGTCGATGAAACTGGCCAAGAAGAAATTGCGAAGGAGCAATTTACAAGTCCCGAGGATCCTAGGTGGGTGCCGATATACACATTTGACCTCATACCAAGAAAAACGGAGGACTTCTTTGAAATGTTAGAGTATCATCAGAAAAATGTCGATTCACCATATACTCATGATCGTATATGCACCATGGCAAAACCCTGGGGAAGGGTAACTCTTTCAGGCCATAAAATTGTAATTACAACGTTTCTTGGGGACAACAAAGTCAAAAAAGAATCCAGGAACGTTGAGGGTGGTGAACATGAAGTAGTACAAGAACTGGAAGAAGTATTTGGAATTAGAAAAGACTGTTGTTTCTACCCAGAAGGGTAGGCCTTTTATGGCTGGTTTTCACTAGCGATAGAGTCGGAGTCGGAAGCAGTGTCGTAAGAGCGCTTATGATTGAGTCAGTGAAAATAAAAAATTCGGAGTTGCATGCAGAGTCATAAACTAGACAGAATCGGGGTCGGAAGAATCTGAATGTTTCCATTTTCTTCGGACTCCTCTTTTGACTCCATTGCTTACAATCTAGTGAAAACCAGATAGTTGGAGTCAGAAACAGAAATGTAAGGATAAACCAATCACAATGCACGTTCCCATGCTTTGTGATTGTTTTAGTTCTTCTGCCTCTGCCTCCGACTCCAACATCCTAGTTTTGACTTGATCGTAAATGATGGATTCGTAAGCGGTATCAGAACGCTGTTTTCACTAGATCGTAAATTTCTACGCTTCTGATTACAACTCCGACTCTGTCGCTAGTGAAAACCAGCCTTCAACTGGATTGAATGGTACGTTGTGTAAACTACAGTTGAATCTCCATTTAGTGGCCACCTATTAAGCAGCCACCCTTAATTAAGGAGCCAGTAATAAAAGTCCCTAAAATAATTGTAAAACATTATGGAAACTTAAACCTCTATTTAGTCGCCACCTTTTGACCATCCCAATGAGAGTTGTTCCATTGTTGTCACCTCTATTAGCAGCCATCAAGCGCTTGATACACTTAGTTTGCCTTTGTTTCAAGAATATGGTTGAGGAAATACAGTGCGAGATAGAAGGTGATGACTGATTGTTTGTGGACCAGCACTGCTCCAGTCGCGTAATTGTTTCAAAGTGAAGTAATGTTTCTGCTAAGGATTATGATAATTTGTGACGAGCCTCTACAGAATGGCCAACCTCCATTTAAAAGAGGCCACTTGCCGGTACCCCAAGGGTGGCCGCTTAATGATGGTTCAACTATAACAATAGACAAGAGCATTTAAAAAGTGTGTCAAAAGTGACTTATAGAAAACAATGGGGATAGTGAAACACTTGAAAACCATCAACAGATTTAGGGGTGGGTTGAAAGGGTCAGCAATCCCCCTTTGTGTTGGATTTACGTTATACCTCCAAAATCTTATTGTAAAATCTCCTTTTGAGAGCCTGGACATTCATGCTCTAGAGTTCTGTAACATAATAATAATAATACAATGGAACCTCAATATAACAAACCTCTCTACAACAAAGTCCTTAGTATAACAAACGATATTCTATGCCCCAGTAACAGTAAAGATGTGAAAGAGAACTTTGGTATAATGAAACTTACCATATTTATTGGAATAAGCACCCAACCTCGAATTAGCGCCCACCTCGAATAAGTACCCATCCTAAAGGCAGAAAAAGTTAATAGGCACCCAGCCTCGAATAAGCGCCACCCCCACCCCACCCCACCCCACCTCCCACTCCCACTCAAACTTAAATAAGCGCCCACTCCCTTGTCGCTACCCCCAAAAAGAAGGAATAAGTACTAATTTGAGACTTCCCCGAAGACAGAGTTTTCTTCAGAGTGTTTTGCAGAAATATTGCTTTGTTACATCTTCGTGTTTTGTTATTACCATTTACTGTTTTCTTGCAAAATATGCATACTACACTTGCTAAAAATGGTGAAAATTTAATAAGTGCCCAGCCTTGAATAAGCACCCACCTCAAATAAGCGCCCACTCTCAAGGTCCAAAAATTTTATAAGCACCCAGGGCGGTTAATCGAATTAATACGGTATGCTGAACAAATTTTGCCCCCTCGCAGTTTTTCTTTTTTTTTTTTTTTCGAGGTTTTACTGCAGTCAGTTTATCAAGTTAAATTTTCTTTTGGGACAGGACTATTCTTGTTCCCTTAGCTGTTACCACAAGACTTGTAACAGATTCAGAAAGGTTGAAAAGAAGGAACTGCAGTAAAGTGCAGTTGCAGTGAGCACTTAGTGGAGTCACTGTTGCTGTCAAAACTTGACTATTGTGACACTGTCTATTACCCTTTGCCGGAATTTCAACTAAAACGTTTACAACGTGTCCAGCTAGTAGCTGCTAGTTTTGTCCTGAGTAGGTATGTAAATGACATTAATGATATTGTTAAGATAGGGTGGTTACCGGTAAGACAGCAAAGAGACTTCCATGTTCTCAAACTTGTTCACAAGGCTTTGCACTCCCCCAGCTGGCGATCTTACATACCACTAGATACAGTTAAACATCTGTGATCTTTGTGGTCAGGAGCAGCAACAAGATTAATTACACCAATGGAAAGGGGCGCCTTTCAAGACTCTGCTGCCAAGTTATTTTTTGTCCTTCCAGCAGATATAATAGAAACTGTAGTGCTTTCAAAGTATACTGTAGGGAAGTTAATGCCTATCTATTAAATAACATTTGTAAATAGTTTGTAAATTGCATATAGGGTTATATTACTATTACTAATCTTCGTTACATTTTTATACAATGAATATCCTTTTATAGTCCGATTTTATTGCTTTTTATACGGTAGATTTCATATTTTTTTTATTTTTTTAGTATATTATAGACTTCATATTTTATATTGTAGTTTTTAACAGGTAAAGAGCCACTAGGTGGATACACTGTTAATAAACAGTTACTATTATTATTATTGTTATTATTAATGTATAGATTTAGCCAGGGCTAAAAGCGAAGCTCTCGATGATATTTATAGTTTGTTCAAACAAAATATAAAATCGTGTAATGCTAAGCGGCGAAGGCAACGCCGGAGAACGGTTAAAAACAACAATAGGTCTAATTAGAAAAACTCAACTTAGCACGTGCAACACACTTTTTTGGTACATTTCTTTGCCGTTGTTTTGCACGGTGAAACTTCTAGAAACTTCTGAGTTCTACGTTTTATGGAGGAAATGTCGTATGTGTTCTCGTTCACTTGTTTTTCACTGCAGCTCATTTTCACCTTGCATTGGTGGCCGCTACCATTTCTCATTTTGTCACCTCCGCTGCAAAATGTTCATGTTGTTCTTCCGACAAAAAAATGTCTCCTTTGTTTTTTAGCTCCCGCTCTAGATCTCTGACGCCCTTTCTCTCGTTGAGCTTCGCTGGCTTGCCAGCTTATTTTCTCTTTTTCTCTGTCTTTCTCCTGCTCTATATTCCAAATTTGTGGACTTGACAATTAATCTAAGCTTAATACTAAAAAAAACCACGGATACAGAAACATTTTCCGCTTTCCGTTTTCGTCTTTACTGACTCTTTAGTTGTGTCTGCTTCACAAGACGCTGGTGGCCATACGCTTTCCTGCCAAAATAACCTGACATTTGGCATCGGCTTACATGTAGTGGGTGTACGGACGGTCGTTCGTACGCTACCTCATAACCAAATTTTGTCGGATGGGTGGTTTACCAAATTTTAAAAGTAGGTCGAGTTTTATCGTCGGGATGAACGTAGTCCTGAATAGGACTATTGTTGTTGACAGTGACTTACGTTTCGACAACCTGTGCGGTAGTCATCTTCAGAGTCAAAGTGAGCTGTATCACGTCTTACCCATGGTGCTGCGCTGGCGCGCTTCGCGCGCGAGAGCTCTGCTATCAAATCTTTGATCAGGTCTGAAATAGGGTAGGGAAAATCAAAAATTTTGGTCTGAAATAGTATCCTATTTACACCAATCTTGCCCACGCTCCTAAGCTAAGTGATGGAGAAATCTGGAGGCCTCTTCCGGATGAAGGATGCAGGTCCGAGATACTATGGGCGGGATGGGGTGGGGAGAGAGAAAAACAAACCATGCGAAAGACGTGCCATGAGGTGGAGAGCGGGCAAGGCGAGGTGCATGGCCATAACAACAACCTGTGCTTCTTGTCTCGAAGATGATAGTGAATGCATAGTGTATGTGTCTTATATAGTTGCTTGGGCAAGACCGCTGTAAATAGTATCCTATTACACCAATCTTGCCCACACTCCTAAGCTAAGTGATGGAGAAATCTGGCGGCCAACGTACGAATAATACTTTCCGAGACATCGCACTACCAACAGGAAGACAACACCCCACACACCCAAACTCAAAACCTCCAGCCTTAATACCCACACTAAAGAAAAACACTCCACAGAGTCAGGAAATCAAATTGCCGCAAAACAACTTCTGCCCTATAGAGCCACAAAACGTATTAACAGACCAGGGACCAATAAATTTAGCACAAATCAGTCCCCAATTCAATCAATCAATCAATTTTATTTAAGCTCGATAGCGTGAGGAGTGGTTGCCCAATCTCCCGACCCAGGGGCTCATGTATTAAACGCTCGAGCATTCCTGATCGAATTGGAATTTAGAAATGTTGGTTTTTGCGGAGAGGGGAAAACCGGAGTATCCGGAGAAAAACCTCTCGGAGCAGAGAAGAGAACTAACAACAAACTCAACCCACATATGACGTCGAGTCCGGGATTCGAACCCGGGCGACATTGGTGGAAGGCGAGTGCTCTCACCACTGCGCCATCCCTGCTCCCCGAAATATAACTGAATAAAACGCTCAACAGACTCAGGTAAGAAAAATTGCCAAGAAAAGACTTCTGCTCTGAAGCCACAATTCCCAACAAATTGTAAACAAGACCAGGGCGTAATAAAGTTTAAGCCCCTGGTTCTAACACGGGCGACAGAGTCAGGTAACAAATATTGCCGTAAAACAACGTCTGCTCTGGAGCCACAAAACAGAGTGCAAACAGTACCAGGGCGTGAAAATTTTAGCGAAATTAAGCCCCTGGTTCTAGTACACGCTCGACAGAGTCAGGTAACAAAAATTGGCCGTAAAACTTCTGCTCTGGAGCCACAAAACACATCTATTTGTAACAAAACTGTGGGTTTTGCCAAAAACAACAACGAAAACATAAGCCAAACAATAGCTTACTCATGAAAATGCAGCAACTTATAATAACACGTACCTTAAAAAACCCAACGGGAATAGCAGCAGGCAAGTAAAGCAAATTCATGCACTGACTCCGCATGAATAAAACTAGGGAGCACGAAGACTAAACAGCGTAGGCCAAAATAGGCATATGAAACGAAAAAACTGAAAACCCCGCATGCGG